TGTGTGTGTGTGTGTGTGTTTGTTGGGGGAAGATGCAAGGAGACGTGTTGATCTTTGAATGCCTTCCTCCAAACAAACCCGACCGCATGTCTGGGAAGGAGCAGCCAGCTAACCTTAAGCGAACTGAAAGTCTGCAAACCAGCCTTTTCCCCTGCTTTTAAATAGATCTCTCTCTTTCCCTCTCTCTTTCTCTCTCTTTCTCCCATCTAATTTATTTTGAAGTTTTGTGGAGGGCGGGAGAAATGCCTGTAACTGGAATAAACCCTCTACACTAAGGAGGGAAATGACAAAGTTGGGGTTTCCCCCAGGAAACTGCGCCTCTTTCTTTTAAAACATTTGTTGTGTTTAAGAGGAATTCACAGGCAGTTCAGTTTTTTGGGTGGGAGGGGAATTTGCTTTCCCCCCCAAACATTTTGATGTGTTTAAATGAAAGGATTTTGATTGTTTTAAAAAATATTGGTAAATTTTTAAATTATATTTGTCTGTGAGGTGCTGTGAGTCTCACTTTGGGAGAAAGGGGGCATGTAAAATAAATAAAGTTTGAATTTTTATAATTCAGGATAATAACGATTAGCAATTAATAATAGTTTTAGGGGCTTGTCAGAAACGGGGGGGGGGGGAAGTGCAAGGATAATTTCAAAATCTGGAGGAAGAGAAAACCATAAAAAGATGGAGTCTTCAGAATCTGGTAAAATTGTTAGATGTATCCAGGGTTGTCCTGAAAAGAGGAGCCACATTTTTTGTAGGGGGAGGAGTTTCCAAAACATGCTTTCATAAATGTCTTTACGATGAACTGTTGCTGAAGTGGAGCTCTTTATGACAAAGAGGTAAAACGTGGTAACTTGTTTTGGAAAAAGCATGCTAGCCTGTTGAGTAAAACACATGTTGTTCTTTGTTTGGTCATGCAGTGTAGAAAATAGTTGGCTCAGCTTGAGTTCAAACATAGGGCTGAGTAGACCCTTTAAATTAGCTTTTGAATGTTGAGTCCACACATTGATCCAATTCATGTATACTGGACCCTCCACATTCACTAGGTTTAGGGGCACAGGACCCCCATGAAAATGGAAAAAATTGAAAAAAACCCCTTTCTTTTAAACCTGAGATAACACCTCTCTAGGCATCTCTAGGTCCTGCAGTGCAACTCTGTGGTCAACATCCATTGGAAAATAAACATAAAATCATGCTGGAGGACCTGTAAATTCCTAGAGAAATGTTTTCTGTAGGAATTTCTAGGTTCTCCAGCATTGTTGACTTTTGGCAGAGTTCTAGAGATTCCTAGAAAAACATATTAATCAAATCTGTGAATAATCGAGTCCACAAAAGTTGGGGCTCACAACAGAATTCAGGCTGTAGTTCCCCGAGAGTTTAGAACAGTTGTCCAGCTCTTGGATTGGTTCAGCCCATGAGAATTTTACAACACATTTTATTAACATGCAGGTGAGAGCTGGACAGTTAAGAAAGATGATAGGAAGAAAATAAATTCATTTCAGATGTGGTGCTGGAGAAGAGTGCTGAGGATCCCATGGACAGTCAAAAGGACAAATAATAATAATAATAAATTTTATTTAAATCCCACCCCTCTGCAAATGCAATCTGCAAATGCAAGTGGGTCCTAGAGCAGATCAAGCCAGAAACCTCCCTGGAAGCCAAGATGACCAAACTGAGGCTGTTGTACTTCAGAGATGTCATGAGAAGAGGGGACTCTGGAAAAAAGCAATAATGCTGGGGAAGGTGGAGGGAAGTAGGAAGAGAGGAAGGCCACATGCTAGATGGATGGACTCCGGGTATGGCATTGCAGGGTTTAAGCAGAGCTAAACAGAGGGTCTTGGAGATGTCTCACACATAGGGTTGCCATGAGTCGAGATCGACTGGAGGGCAGTTAACAACAAAGAGGTCACTCTTGAAGGCACACAGCAGCAGCAGCAGCAACAACAACATGGTTCAGAGAATAAGACTGAACTCTTATATTATCTCTTTTCTTTCTTGTTGCATATCTTTACTTTTGTTGGTTGCAGGTGATGTGTCTTGATGTACCCACAGTTCTACGCTTACTTTATTCATCTTGTATTATCTTCCAGGCTTGAATCAGGACAAGTCTGCCAGCAGCTCCACCATGTCAGATAGTGACTTTGGAGAAGATGATGGGAATCTATCTCAGGATCCATTGCAGTCTGGGAAGAGGAAACGAAGGGGCAATCTTCCAAAGGAGTCTGTGAAAATTCTCCGGGAGTGGCTGTATGAGCACAGGTTCAATGCGTATCCCTCTGAGCAAGAGAAGCTAAGCCTTTCTGGACAGACAAGCCTCTCAGTTCTCCAAGTAAGAACCATTGTGTAGTTCTTTTCCAGCAAGTTGCCCTGTGATGATGGGTTATTCACCAGATCTGCTGTTCAAGCTTAGAAATCAGTTGTTGTGTATCTTCAAGTCATTTTCAATCTAAGGCACATCCATCACAGGGTTTTCTATGCAAGATATAATCAGAGCGGTTTTGCTTTTACCTTTCTGCTGCCCCAGAAACTAGGACCTGGAACAATGGGTGCAAGCTCCAGGAAAAGAGATTCCACCTCAACATTAGGAGGAACTTCCTGACAGTAAGGGCTGTTCGACAGTGGAACACACTCCCTCGGAGTGTGGTGGAGTCTCCTTCCTTGGAGGTTTTTAAGCAGAGGCTGGATGGCCATCTGTCGGGGATGCTTTGATTGGGAGTTCCAGCATGGCAGGGGGTTGGACTGGATGGCCCTTGTGGTCTCTTCCAACTCTATGATTCTATGATTTCTCTGAGGTTGACAGAGAGTGATTTGTTCAAAGTCACCCAGTGGGTTTCCATGGCCCAGCAGGGATTCGAACCCTAGTTTCCAGAGTCCCAATCCAACTCTGAAACCACTACACTATGCAGGCTGTCAGTACCCTGGCCCAAAAGAAAATAAAAGTAGGGTGGAGCATGTGTGGAAGTTAGACATCCAAGGAACATCCCCAAAGTCTCTCTTTAGGCGAGTTCTGTGGCCTCCAACTAGTAGTGGATACTGCCTAACATGACTTCTGTTGACTCTTTTACCTTTTGCTCAATTAAAATTAATCCCCTGTTGATCTCCTTCAGAGTAAGAATATGTTAGACACGGAGACACTGTTAGACTGCATGTCCTAAGACTCCTCACAATTGGCTACGTTGGTGAGAATTGCAGTCCAGCTACATCTTGAAGGCCACAGATTGCTCACCTTGGTGTAGGAGTACCATATCTTTTCCTGCTTTATAAGGGATAAGCATGTTTTGTTTTGTGCTGGAACTGAATGCAAATAATTGCTTTTTTGGTATGTTCCAAGGGAGAAAGATTATGATACTTCTTTTTCTGTTTCTCTTGATGCATTGTGAAATCTGATTTGTACCCATCTGTTGTGACTTCAGAATAATCTCCCATATACACCATTTTAGGACAAATAGAAAGTGTAGTTTCACAGATATTTTTATGCATTTCCCCTTCGTGTTTTATTTCTATTCCATCCTCTTTGTTTATCTGACCCAAAGAAGAAGAGTCTTGGGAAATTTGAAAGCCTGCTTATCTTCTTAGGACACTTTGTGCCTTCAAGTCATCCGTTGACTTAGGACAACCCCATGAATTTCCTAGAGATTCTTTAGGCGACCACACAGAGGTGGTTTACTTGTTTCTAATAAAGATTTCAGCTGTATGCGTAGCAGATATCCATCATTGCCTATCACTTGCTAGCATTTGAACTGGATGGCTCTATTTCATACAGAGCTAAAAGGTTCTTAAGAAGTTTTTGCAGAAAAATAAATTACACTTGTCCCTCCACATTCACTGGGATTAGGACCACAGGAACACAGTGAATGTGAAAAAACTGCAGATAACAAAAACACTATGTTATTACCTGAGAGAACACCTCTCTAGGAATCTCTAGGTCCTCCAGTACAACTGAGTGGTCCAGTACAATCTGCCAGACGTTGACCATAAAATTGTGCTGGAGGAGCTACAAATGCCTAGTAGAGTGTTTTCTCTAGGAATCTAGGACCTTCAGTGTGACCTTTGGTTAAAGTTGACCATAGAGTTGTGCTGGAGGACCTAGAGATTCTTATAACATACTAATACAGTGTTGTGAATAATCAAATCCACAAAAGTCAAAGCCGCAAATGTGGAGCAACAAGTGTAGGTATCCATTTGGTGCTGTGATGCAGCTTAGTAATGTCAAATGTGCTTGTAGAGGCTAGCTGAAGTAAAAGAGTTTAATTAGAATTGGCATAGAGATCCAGTGAAATCATAGAACAAGTGCTGGAGGGAATGTATGGTTCTGCAAAACAAGTGCAGTGAATATAATGAATAGTTTAAGTGTCAAGTTCTATTATAGAGCTATATGTTTCCTATGGGTCTGGTTTTTGTCGTATGTGCAATCCCAAGTACATTTAATATAGGAGAAAAAAAATCTATTGGAAAAAGCAAAGTTTAACTGCAGGTGATGAATTTAGGAATGAGGCCAAAGTACCCAAGGGTTACTTTCAGTCCTGTGCTATAGAGGTAATGCCACTACTGGGATTAATTCTGATCTTTTGCATGTTTCAGGTGACTTGGTAGTAATAGCATGGTGTAATGATTTGAATGTTGGATTAGGAACTAGGAGACTAGGGTTTGATTCCCCACTTTGCCATGAAAAGCATGGGAGACTTTGTCATATGCTCACCTTCAAAGGAAGACAAAGGCAAGCCTCTAAACTGCAAATACCTGCTGAGCCATGAAGCACTCTATGGTTGCATCTGCACTGAAGAAATAATCCAGTTTGACACCGCTAACTACCATGGTTTAATGCTATGGAATTCTGGGAACTAGTTTTGTGAGACAGCCTTCTCTGTCTGGGAGCTTTCGTGCCACAACAAACTAAAATTCCCAGGATTCCATTGCATTGAGCCATGGGAGTTAAAGTGTCAAACTGGATTATTTCTGGTGTGTGGTGCAGCCTTTTTCGTTTTAGGACAGCCATACTTTCTTAGCCTGACCCAAAATTGGAAGTAACATAGTACAGCGGAGTGGTATCCCTTACATAAGATGGCAAAATCAAGGTTTACTTTTAGGAATTAAAAAACCCAAACACACTTTTAAACTGTGGATGGTTGAATCTATGAATATGGAGGGCTAGTAATGGTGTTACCTGTAACAAATTACTTTTGGCAGTGATGGAGGCATAGCAACCTGCCTTTTGCATAATAGTACAATAACCAGTAACATCATTAACAGAAGTAGTAGTGAATACAGTGGGCTGCTGCTGTTAGTAGCCTGGCAATCCATGGATTTGACTGCTCATGGATCACCACATTCCTTATTCAGTGGCAGTGCACACACATTGCCACCATTGAATAATGGGGCATGACCATCTTGTGTTTTTTGCCATCTGAGGGGCCCTGGAGCTGAACCCTTGCAGATGAGAAGAGTCTGTTGTAATGTTGTTCTTAAACATTTCTTTGGGGTGATATTTTGCCATTTTTGTATTTTTTTAATTTTTGAGAAAGTAACTTGAAACTTTCAAAATATTAATGCTACCAAGTTAAACTCCTTTGTTGAAAAGGAAAGTGATCTGACCTCTTCCTCTCAGGATTGCTGTGGGGATAAAATATAGAGAGATGCCATGTACACCATCTTTTTTTTCCTCATTGGAAGAAAGGCAGGATTCAAAAGTAAAAAGTTAATTCAAATAAATGCATGGATCATGGGTATTGAATACTTGAGGCATGTAATTTTTCATTATACGGGATATTTCATGCATGCTCCACAATGGAGCTATTCCTTAGTCCTAGCTGGATTTCAGGAAAATCTCTAAATGAAGTCTGGGCCATCAGCTCCTCTTCTGGATTCACAGGGCAGAAGGTTCTGTAAGGTGAAGAAGTGGAATGTGATCTGGCTACGGTATATTTATGGAATCAACAACTTTATATTATGTTTGTCTTAAAAGTCTTCAAAGCTTTTTATGATGGTTTCCGTGCAGTGGGCTAGGGAGAGTAATAGCTGAATAGGTGAAAGTTTGTGGTTGGCAGAATTTATTGAGTATTGCAAATTAAAGGTGTTTGAATCCTATTTTAATTGATATCTATGCAAAGTGTTACCTTGCCTTTCATCCAAAAGTTCAAGGCAGGGTGTGTAGCTCTTCTTTTTAACTTAGTCCTCAAAACAGCCTTGTTAAGTAGGCCGATCCAGGGGATTATGAATGCCACGAAGGCTTGAAATTTGGATTTCCCATGTCTCAGTTTAGTACTTACTAAAGCACAGTATCTGCTGACTGAGCAGTGGCAACGTGTTGGAAAAGAGAGAATGGAGAGAATGGGTGTGTATCACAACCTGCCATGCATCCCTTTAGAGAGTTTGCTGCCCTGAGAGACATTGAAGTATGCTGTCCTGTAGCAAATGTTAAAATGACTGCAGCCCATTTGATTTTTATGCGTGAAGTGTCTGAGTATGTTTATACATACACCAAGTTGACATCACCTGAGGAAGTAAAATGTCTTGAGCTGACCTGGGGCCCATGCACACTATAGAATTATAGTGCTGTTATTCCACTTTAACTGCCATGGTTCCATCTTGTGAATCCTGGGAGTTGCAGTTTAGAGAGGGACATAAGAATTCTTAGTGTGCTCCAGTCCAGTGTCCTTGCCAAGCTGCAAGTTATAGTGGAATAACAGCACTATACTGTAGTTTATTTAGGTTGAATGGACCTTTGTAAGGTGATATTTGGCATGTCTCTTTAGAGTGATAGGATAAGGGCTTACGCTCCCTTCCCCACACCTTAGTTTTGAAAATGAAGAAAAACAAAACAAAACAATCTCTGCCCCCCCTATATTTCTTCATCTTAAATTCTTCTGTGTGAATTTGTGGTTGTATCAGTGGAGGGGGAAGGAAGGAAGTAAATTTAGAAATTAAGAGAGATAGATTGTCAGATCTAGCCCAGATGTAAGTAGTTGTAGCAGAAATGCAGTGACACCCACTCAACACCTGATCTGAATTTAGCCACTTCAGTTCCATAGCACAAAGTACAGCTGTGTATGTGTATTTGTGTTTGCCCTGCCATTTTAACTGTTGTAGCTTTAACTTTATGCAGCTGTTTGCTTGACCTCAGTGTGTACAAAACCTAGCCTTCCTAAAACCAAATTGCTTTTAATGTTTTTCTAAGCACCTGAGCATTTGAAGGATAGGCCAAAATCTTCAGAAATAACTAAATGTCATATTGTGATGGTTTTAGTTAAGTAAGATATGAGATGTGCTCTGAAAGATTTAATTTCTTTTAACTACAACAACTCCTAGATTTCCCAGCCAGTGTGGCCAGTGGCCAGACTGGCTGTGGAATTTCTGAGGAGCCATCCTTATTTGTGCCTGTCTGTCTACAGTGTGTGCATCTATAAATTCTCAGAACAAGAACTGAAGATTTTGAAAAATGCAGCATTTTGTCTGTCAGCATTAAATTATTTGCATGCTATCAAGTACCTGGATGTTTTTATTTTCTCAGGTAGCTTTGGGTTTAGGATCTCAACACAACACTGGCCTGTTCCAATACTTGCTGTATTTTATTTGGTTTGGAATCTAATACTGCTTAATGTTTTCTTCACAAATCACTGGTACACTCCAGAAAGGTAGTTGGGACATGGGATGGGAGGGGAAATAGTCTTTTTAAGTATGGTGAGGGGCCTGTGCTACTTTAGAATTACAATTGGGCAGCTTTTAAATACAAGTTAAAAGGCATATGCCAAGGGATAAGACCCAGGATTCTTGTGACTTCTGTGGCAAAAAGTCTTTGCTTGTTGGGCAATACATTTTGCAAATGCTCTAAGAGGTATTTGATCTTGAGACATTTTTCTTTGCAAAGTTAAAATTGCTCAGGCTCAGCCTGGTATTTTGCCAACGTAA